GTAAGGGAGGAAATAAAGTGGAGTGAGAAACGTTGAAGTCCCGTTCTATCCCCGCTCTTTCACCTTTTTCCTTTCTTTCTTTCTTTCTTTTTTCTTTTTTTCTTTCTTTCTTTCCTTCTATCTCTCTCACTCTTTTTCTCCACAGAAAATCGCTTGTTCTTGGATGAGACAAAGCCGAGCATTAGGTGAACACCCACATCGAATAGCAATATGTTAAGCAACCGAGAAGTTCTACCGTTAAGTCGCACTTCGAATTTCTAAATTTTTCTTCTACTTTTTTTCTTTCCTTCTTTTGTTTCTCGGATTCCATTTTCTACCGTTTTTTCGCCGTATTCATCGAGTATTCGATCACGTGAAATATTATAATTCAACGCAAGCATTCTACATTTTTATATTTTATTTCACGAAAAAAATTCTTTTACGATTTCACGTTATTCCCTCTTTCACGTCAGATTTATTTAAGTTTTAAAGAAATATTTATTCACCGAATGATGATTAGAAAGACATTTTTAAAAAGCTTTCAAAAATTAATACATTATTACATTATGTGGTTAATTATCAATCAGAAAATAATAATAATAATAATAATAATATTTCAATATTAATTATTTCTTATGGAAAAATTTTGAACCTTAAATAATGACGATTTTATATTTTTGCTTTTTATATTTAAAACGTCTAAACAAAAAAAAGAAGGGAAAAAGAAAGAAGGGGAAAAAATGAAAATTAAAAAAGTCTTCGTAGTCATAAATCTTTTTAATATTCATTCTTCGTAGATCATTAAATTTCATTGAAAATTTCTTTCATTTCTAATAATAATTTTATATTCTTAAATCACTCGGATAAATATACGAAGGATTTTGAAATGATTAAACTCTCGGTATCTCGATAAGTATAATCCTATTTTCATTAAAAAAAAAAAAAAAAAAAAAAAAAAAATCACTTTAGCGATATCAACCCCCTTTTCATCCCTTAGCACCAACAACATCCATCTCTTTATCGATCTCCGTTTATCCTTCTATTTCTGTTCCCAACCGACAAAGAATCTCCACCCTGACATTTATAGTCTGAAATGAGTCCAGTTCATCGATCATATCTACACAAAGAATCTATTTTTATCGTCGAAAGATCGCAAGTAATGGACTTTCATACAAGGGGAAGGTCGCCGATAAGGATCTTCTAGTCACGTCAATTCGTAGTCAATATAAAAAAAAAAAAAAAAAAGCCAATCACCGATGGAACTTCATCGTCTTTTATATCTCTTTAATCGTTGTCTCTGATTTCTGATTGATTATCGATAGATCTAAATGGTAATTCAATCATATCAATTATAATGTTCGTTTAATCAATTAATGGACATCGTACTTATTTCTTTTATCTTACAAATGAAGGGGAAAAAAAAAAAGAAAAGAGAAAGAGAGAGAAAGAGAGACAAATTTTAATTCAGTAAAAACAATTTCGTTTACGTCTCTACAAAAAGCTTTATATAATATAAAACTTATATACTCGACAATTTCTAAATGATTATATAACTAAAATTTAGCTTGTATGTACCATCGTTTTATTACCTGAAGAAAAGGAAAAAAGAAACAGAAAAAGTCGATTTTTAATATCACTTAGAAACTTTTTGAATCAATCTGTACTCGAATATAATCATACTATATTGAATATAATTTATATTTACGATAATATCGTTAGAAAATATAATTATATTTAAAAATGTAATAAAACTTTAATGAAATAAAACAACTTTAATAATACTTCAATAATACAGATTTACCGTAACGATATAACGATTAATCGTAATTTAAATGATTTATACATAGGACGTTATAGAGAGATGAAAATAAAATATGAATAAAAATAAAAAAATAATAAGAAAATGCACGAATAATAATACGTATTACGAAGTTAAACGTAAACGTATCAGAGAGACAGAGAGAGAGAGAGAGAGAGAGAGAGAGAGAGAGAGAGAGAGAGAGAGAGAGAGAGAGAGAGAGAGAGAGAGGGGAGCGGGACGAAAAAAAAGAAACAAAAAAAAACGAAAAAGTCAATGTAAAAATATAAGGTTAGAAATCGCGTGCACATACGAACGTGCAAATACGGAGTACGGTCGGTGTAAATAGAAATGTGTCTCTCGTCTAGTTCGATTCATCGAAGAAGAAGAAAAAGAAGAAGAAGAAGACGAAGAAGAAAACGAAGAAGAATCCACACAAAAGAGAGAAGAACGCGAAGAAGAAGAAGAAGAAGAAGTAGAAGAAGAAATATCGTCGTCGGGCTCGTGAAAGCTGTCTCTCCTCTTTTTCATTCTTTCTTTTTCTTCGTACCTTTTCTTACCTTTTCTTTTTTCATCATTTCTCTTTCTCTCTCTCTCTCTCTTTTTCTCTTTTCTTTTTTCTTTTTTTTTTTTTTTCATGCGTTACCCCCAAAAGGCCTTGGAAAAATGTGAATATAAGGGGTGTCCGGAAATAAGGTCCGGAAAAAAAGATGGTGGGTGTGA